CGCTCATCTCTTCTGACGTTCCCCCCCTTCCTCCGCCTTGCCCCGCGTGTCCCTTTCTCGTTCTCTCTTGCCCACGTTGTGTGTGTGCGCAGTGTCCGAACGCATCGCGCTGCGCGACCCCATGGATGAGATCCGGCGCGCCTTTGCCCTCTTCGACGACGACGGCACGGGGCGCATTTCGCTGCGCAACCTCAAGCGCGTGGCCAAGGAGCTGGGCGAGGGCCTGGATGAGGAGGAACTGTGAGTGTTGCTGCGCCGTCGCCGCCGCCCGCCGCCGCCGCCGCCGCGCGCTGCGTGTGTGGGAGAGAGAATGGGGAGTAGGATCAGTTGCTGACGAGAGAATGGGTGCGCACAGGCAGGCGATGATCGATGAGTTTGACCTCGATCAGGACGGCGAGATTTCAGAGCAGGTGAGTGATCCGCGGGGGGAAGGGGGGCGGAGCGGGTTGCATCGGCACGTTGGAGAGCACAGGCACGACGCGGGGGCGACGGAGGAAGAAAAGGGCGAGGTGGGAGGAATGCATGGGGGTCCGTGGTGCGGTGCTCGGGCCAGGTCAAGACTAAGCGAGAAGGCGGCATGCGCCACGGTATGGCTTGAGAGCCCTGCCGTAAGAAAGCGCAGCGAAACAGCCGAACAAAAAAGGATCGGCTTTCGCACCTCGCACCTTCGCACCTCGCGCCTCGGAGAGAGAGAGAGAGAGAACGAGCGAAACTAACACGCTTGCCTTTCCTCTTGCGCTGCCCCGCGCGCAAACCAGGAGTTCATCCAGATCATGATGGACGACTCCTGAAGCCTCTCTTTCTTCGTGCGGCTTCGCTTTGTGGGATGTATTCGAGACTCGAGAGAGGGGGCGTAACGATGAGACTGTGTCATGGCCTTGTTTCAGAGCCGACGTGGATGAGCTTCATTTCGTGCGTTGCGAGTCGGGGCAAGGCGCCGCGTGAAAAAGCTGCGGGAAGGTGCGGCGTGGTGGGGGATGAGAGTTGAATAGATGGGCTGTGTCAGGGCTGCAATGAAAGCTGTGATGAGGCATGCGCAAGCAGGGGGCGACATGGGGCAGCGAGAGAGAGGCAGGTGACAAGCACAAGGCGCAGAGGCAGGCGCGTCTCCTCCACATCGAGGCAGCGGCGCATGCGCGTCAGAGCGGCGGCGCTGCTCTTTCTCGCTACTGCTCGCCTCACTCCCACCCACCCCCACCTGCCCAAGCCATTCGCAAGCCATGGCACCCACGCTGCCGCTGCGCATCGGCATCATCGGCGCCGGCGAAGTGACGCAGGTCATCCACCTTCCCACGCTCCTACTTCTCTCTCATCTCTTCCGTGTCACCGCACTCGCCGACGTCTCTCCCTCCTCCCTCTCCCACGTCGCCGCCAAGTTCGGCATCCCCCACGCATTCCGCTCCGCCGCCGAGCTGTGCGCATGCAGTGACGTCGACGTCGTGCTCATCGCCAGCGCCGATGAGTTCCACGCGCAGCAGGCCTGCATGGCCGCACGGCACGGCAAGCACGTCTTCTGCGAAAAGCCGCTGGCGCTGACGCGCGAGGATTTTGCGCGCGTGGAGCAGGCGAGGAGAGAGCATGGCGTGCATGTCAGTGTGGGCTATATGCGTCGGTGAGTTCATAACCCTCGATGCCCGGCATAGGGAGAGGGGGGAGGAGTTCGAGGGATGATGAGGCGCGCTCGAAAGAGCAGAGGCCAAGCGGCTAACGCTGACCCTCTTGCGCCCCCTGATGCAACACACCAGCTTCGCACCCGCTTTCCTGGAGTTCAAGCGTCTGCTAGCCTCGAGCGGTGCAATCGAGTACGGTGCGTCTTGCCCCTCCCCTTTAACCCCCTCG